GTTGGAAAAATACTTTTTCCAACTCAAGCAAAGTTCCAAGTGTTCTTCAACTCTTCAAGCTCATCACATACAAATCCTTTGTAACGAAGCTAGTTGGAGGAACCCCTGTTTTAACAGAAACTCTTCTTACTACAAGAAGGATGTCCAAGTAACTTGAGTAGTGAAGTGGTGATACTTCCAGGAATCTCAGTGAAAGGACCAGTCTTAAAGGAAGCCAGGTAGTGCATCCCAGGAGACATCTACACTTGAAGAAGACGTGGAGAGATTCTTAAGTGATAGGGCTAAGGCATTGTAAACGGAAGTCTTTACAGCTTAGTGGAACAGTGGACTAGAGGAACAAGTTGTTCCTTGAACCACTATAAAAATCCCTTGTGTCATTTACTTACTGCTTTATTATTTGCACTTAGATAGAACTGTCTAACTCCTCAGACTTGGTATCTGTGTTCAGCAGAACTTGTCCTACGAGTTAACAGAAGGCCTACTGCCTTTGCTTCTCTGAGGCTAAATCAACAGAACCCCCTACCAGAACCCCATCCGCTGTCAGTCTGTTCTGTCAACAGAACAGGCTATTCTGTAAAATCTGGTACTTAGTTTAAAAAGCTAAAAATCAATACAGTCTATTCACCCCCCCTCTAGACTGTATCCAGTACAACCGGGACCAACAACTGCCCATCTTTGTGCATGTGTCTATGGGGGAGCGATGATCCCCTGATCCTTGATGTCCTCATAGATTTGGGCCACGGGGAGCACCAGCAGGGTGAAGTAAGGGTGGATCTCCTATCACCCTCGGTGTGAATCCACCGAGCGTCTTCTTACGCTTGGCTGAGGGTGATTCCCCCGACCCTGGGGTGTAGCGGCTGGCACCTGGTCCCTCAGGATAATCTCATTTTCAATCGCCACATACTTCTGTTCACGGGCCAGCACCTCAGAATAGCTGGTCCCCGGATCCCTCTTAAGATCCTAATAGAGGTCCCTTATCACCAAGGCGTTGGTTAAGAGGGTAATGCCAGTGCATTTGGTCAGGTCCTTGACTTTCAATGTTTCGTCCCTTCATCGGACTAGGAAAGCGGAGAGGGATTCTTCCGTGCATTGTCGGATGCTCGTCAGCGAGCTGAAATGCTTCCGTAGAGCTAGAAGCGAATTGTGCCATGAATTGCCTCGACAGTTGATCAAAATTGTCGATGGTCCTAGGTCGTAACTGGCCGAACCATTCTTGGTCTGGACCCCGGAGATGCTGAAGAACAGCCTGCAAATGGCATCATCGGGTGCCCCCACCACTGTGAGCCCACCCGAAAAGGGGAGCAGGTGGGATTTTGGGTCCCCGACCCCATTGGAAACCAGTGTACTCAGTGGCGTGCATTCTATGGGAATCTCATCAGCCATGATCCTTGGAGAGAAAAGGGAGGTGAGTGTGATACAAGGCTGCGTCGGGGTACTTTTTGCCCACCAAATCAACTCGTCTATCTAACTCTGCATCCTAGCCAGTATCGCTTCATGTGTTGTAGGAGTGGGGACCACAAGATCACTGACCGCTGTTCCAACGTCCGAATGGGAAAGACCTGCGTTGTGCTGCCTTTGAATGATGCGACTGCCATTTCCCTCAATGTATTGGAAACGGCGCCCCACGCGATTCATAGTGGGAGTATGTTCCCGGGCCTGTGCGTTGTTGCGGGGTACCATCGAAGTTTGGTTCGTGGCGACCCATTGTTGGTGTCTCAGGACATTCGTTCCTCTATGGCCTCCCATATCTAGGGCCCATGAGGTATGAACGAACTTATGCAGCCCTATGCCATATTTCACCCCCTCCACACCTATAAATAGGGGTCTCAGGTGAAAGGAAAGGGGAGAGAACTTCCAGTAGAAGAAACGCCGCAGAAAAGCTGAGAAGAACTCCCGAGAGGCTCTGAAAGATTCCGAAGAAGAGGAAGAGATCAAGCCACGAATTTTATTTGGAATAAATATAATACTTCGTGATTTTGTCGATTCTTGATAAAATAAATCCAAAAGTTGAAGAACATTCAAAGATCTGAAGAACGAAGCTCGAAGATTCAAAGATTTGAAGAAAAGTGCTTTGAAGATTCGAAGATATGAAGAACGGATCTTTGAAGATTTGAAAATATTCATATAAAGATTGAATCAAGATTCAATTGAAGATCAAACCATATATCCCAAGAGGCCCTTAAACATAAAATCAAGCCTTAAAACGGCCATTTTGTTGAAGATCAAGCCACTTGAAAACCGGAGGCCCTTCAAGTTGAATTTTTGACTCAAGAAGATTTGAAGACTCGAAGCTTGAAGATTCGAAGATTCGAAGATCCGAAGATCCGAAGAACGTTCGAATTTTTAAAGTACTAGAGATTTAATTTTAAATTAAATTCTTTAATTATATTTATGTCAAATTGCAAATGAAGAATCAGAGGATTCATATTTAGAGATTGTACCCAGTATTCTCACATATTATTATTTGCGATCAATTTTAAGTGAATACTTAAAATTTGTTTCACAATGGTATAGAGCCCCTGAAGTTCTTTTGGGATCCACTCACTACTTGACGGATGTTTATATGTGGTATGTTGGTTGTATTTTCATTGAAATGGTTAGGAGACAAGTTCTATTTCATGGGGATTTTGAGTTTCAGCAGCTGTAGTCTGCTGGTTAATGATGATGATGATGATAACAATAACGACAACAAGAACGGCACCAATAATGACAACAATAATGGCAGTAACGGCAATGGAAACAACGACAACGACAACAGTAACAACAACAGCAACAACAACATCAACGACAACAACAATGACAACAGCAACAACAACAGCAACTGCAACAACAACAACTACAACAACAACAACAACAACAAAAGCAGCAACCGCAACCACAACCGCAACCGCAATAGCAACCGTAGCAGCAACATCAACAACAACCGCATCAGCAACAACAACAGCAACCGCTACAGCAACAACAACAATAACAAAAACAACAATATCAACATCAACAGCAACAACAAAAACAACAACAACAATAAACACTCGATCAGATTAGAAATATTCCGATCAGATCAAAAGGATTCAGATCAGAAAGACTCACATCATATCAGATCATAACTTAAAAATTTCAAATCAGAAAGATTCAGATCGAGCGAAGAGAACAGCTTCTAAGAAGATATGACAATAGAGAAGAGATTTAAATATACAGGTATTACAATACTAACAATATGCATGTGCTTTTACACGAACTCACTTCCTAACATTTTCACAATTAAACATGTTTGCTTTGAAATAGTATTAGTGATAAAAGTTCTTTGAGACGGGACAAAATGAGCTATGATTAGGTATGTTAGTTAGCGAGCTAAGAGAAATAAAAACATAAGTAACCACCCAAGTATGGTGGGTATCGGTGATATCAATTACTCCTAACTTAAGATTCTCATTTGTACCTTAACTTCTGAGCTAATGTTTGAGGGAAATTAAAAAAAAAAACTAGCGAAACCATGACCGCCGCACCCAAAATCCATCCATGATAAGATCAATCGATCGTCGTGGATTGAAACGGGATTCAAGACAGGGGTGGAAACTCCTTAGGACTATGCTCGAGTACTGTTGAAGGTGTGAAGGTACGGTTTCTTGGTCAAATTAACTTCTTTTTTTTTTGCTTCGATTTCCGATTTGTCGTGTCCGGCTGAGCTCATATCCCTAGCCGAGAGTTTGCACTGCGTTTCGTCTGTAAGCGTTCGTTTGTGAGCAGCTTTTGTGTCGTTAGCTTTTTGTAGTCCGTTTTTGTGTGGTCTGCTTTTATTCTCATGGAAAAAATAGTTGAAGAATGGGAATATGGAAAGATGTCAATTGAGGGGGAAGAAAATAGTGGCTTGGTATTTGAGTTTGGAGTGCTGGATGTTAATAGCGGGGTGGGAAAGAATCCACGCTTCTCTGTTGTTGCTAGGGTTATCACGGATAAACCTGTCGGTCATGTCCCCTTCAGGGAGACTACTATGGCTATGATTTGGCGCTCGAGTAAAGGGGGTGAGTATCGAATAGATAGGAGATATGCGTTTTATGATTAAGTTCTTTCATGAGAATGATATCTCATGGTGATGGATAGTCTACCCGAGGGTATGTATCCGAAGGGTTACTGCGGAGAATAACTAGAGAGAAGTCAGAGCACAAGCAAGAGAGAGAGAGTACATTGCTGAGAAAGTAGTGAGCGTATTTTTGCTTGCTTTACAAATGAGGAATGAGGTGCTATTTATAGTAGTAATAAATGCCAGATAGGGACACGTGTCAAGCATCCAGTGGCCGAGGGGTCATATCAACTGGTTGGCGCTGGCAATCGCATGTGGCCGCATTTAATGCGGCTGTTGGATGTGACATCATACTTGGTACGGCGATTCAGGCGCATGTGGAGAGGATATTATGTCGAGAAAGGTGCCCTCGGCTGCAGGTGATTAGCCGAGGGTTCTGAGTACCGGGGACCTCCTTAGTGCCGAGGGCTACTGATTTTCGCCGTTTTCTCCCAGTGACTTTGTTTGCTTGAGTTGGCCATCCTATGAGAATCGGAGCCTTCGGCCAGGGGGTCGAAGGCACCCCTAGTGTGCCACGTGGGTTGCTTAGTACTTGGGGCGTTGTGATTTGGGCCTGCTGTGCTTCCTGGGCCCATTGGGCCTCCCTTAGAATAGTAGGAGTCTATGGAACGGGGGTTCCTGGGCCATATACTCCATTAGGAGTCCCTCACTCCTTTTGCCGAAAGGTACTTGAGGGAAAAGGAGTAATTTGTGTTTGTCCTTTGGTGTTGTTCCATTGTAGTTTGTAAAGTTTGTGGGTAGTTTGTCGTGTGCATGTTTCAGCCGAGGGCAGTCCCTCAGTTACCCACATTCCGGGACTTGAGGGATCATGCTTGTTGTTGTTGGATTTTTTGTTTTTTGAGGTTTTTCCCGAAGGGGTTATCCAGTCCCTCACTCCTTGAGGTACTTGCAAAGTGGTGAAAAGGAGTAGAGTAGTGCCTTCCTGCAATCTGAAGCGGAGGGGTGACACTTTTCGTTTCATTTTGGGGGGATGCCTCGTTAAAAACCTCTATGGAAAAAACCCTATGGGAAAAAATTCCAATGAGGGAAAAAGAGTGCACCGAATTTCCCCAATGATGAGTCGAAAAGGTAAAACCCTGGTCGGAAATGAGTGGAAATATTTTTGCCGAAGGCTATCCCTGTCTAAAGGCGCGTGTGTTGCTTTGCCGAAGGCTCGCTTTTGATATCCTGGGGGATGCCGGAGGGGAGCCCCCAATTCATGAGAATGAGGGTGCGTTGAATGTAGGTGATATTTCCTGTTCTGTCGAGGGGTCCGTTGTTTGTTGACGAGTGGGGGGCAGCCTTTGATGATGGTGTGCTCCCCGGGGGTTACGTGGTCCTCAATGTGTTTGAAGGCTGAGTGTTCCCGAGGGGTGTGCCCGTTGTGAAGTCGTGGGCTTCTGAAGGAGTGATGGTGTGTAGCATATAATGGGCACACAACTATTTTTTTTACCCAAGGAAGTAGGGTGTCGAACCACAGAGAAGCGGGAAATAAAATAATTAAGCGCAAACTAAGGATTAAAGTTGGGAATGCGTTTCTTTTGATTTTTGTTTGCTTGGAAAAGTAATTAAATAAAAGTGATTGAGAGAAGAGATTTTTATCAACACAAAGTTCAACCAATAGCAAGTAGGGGTAGAAATTGGCAACTAATTGTTCAATGCTCATTTGTAAGACATAATTGCTAATTTTATTCTTAGATAGATTGTGAGAAGTTGTAGATAAATATTTTAGGACCCAACACAAGTCACCTAAAATAAGTAACTAGTCAACATTTCCCAGTGATGGCCAAAACGAGAGTAGTTGTTTAAGTGCAACGACAACCTTAATTATTAACTATATTATTTACCCAACCCCGTGGTGTAAATAATATAATTAAATAATTAAATTCTCCCGTAAAACTTCAATCCGGGACAAGGTAAAAGAAGTTTAACGGTGTGTTCAGAAAGTGTTCATTTGTGTATTTAACAAACAATATGTTTATGATTGAGTACTCATAATATATATCACAAACACAATATAATTAATTTTCTGGACACAACAATCTAAATAGAACAAACTTAACAATTAAAATCAATACAAATTAAAACATGATAAGAACAATTAATTAACCAATTTCTAGCCCCAAATTTATTTAGCTATACATGTTGGGAAACATAGAAATAGATGAATACATGATTAAAGTACAAGATTTAATGAGATAAGGAAGATCAAACTTGTGATAGATGACAATCCTTGGAGCTTTGATGCTAATCTTGACTTAATCTTGGATGAGAAAGTGATTAGTTATGGTTGAAGATGGGTTGATGATTTGGGGTTGAGAAATGAAGAGAGAAGGAGGATGAAATGTTTCTGGGATGTTTAGAGAGAAGTTGGTCCGAGCTTATGTGTGGAGGAAGATGGATTAAGGCAATATAATGATAAGGTGATTAATCATTAATTGCTGGAATTTACGGAACAGATGAGTTTATGTACAACAAAGCGCAGTAAAATTCCAACAGTGGTAGGTAGCTCAATGGACAAGCGTTTCAGTGGAAAACTTGGAGATCGTTGGATCGATTCTCAGCTTCAACATTTTGTTCTTTTCTTTGCCGCGATCAGAAGGAATATAAAAATTGTCAGCTGAATATGTACAACATTGATCACTTAGCACACTGGTTGTAGTAGACATTCCTTTACCCTTTCTCTAGGGATCGAATCCCAGCTCCACCATTTTTATTTTTGCTTCTTTTCTTCAATTCACTCCTTATTTGTTTTGAAGGAAATTCCACTTTTATTGACCTCCAACTTGAACTTTTATTTTCTTCTTTTGTTCACTCTAATGTATCAAAATAGCATCAAAAGTACCTGAAAATACAAAATACCCGCATAATACCACACTAATACAAATTAACGACAAATAATAAAAATATGTACATAAGTACAACTTTAATAACTAAAATTAACAACAAACTAAGCCTAAAAAGTGTGTAAAATATAACCATATCAAATCCCCCACACTTAGGCTTTTGCTTGTCCTCAAGTAAAACAAAAAACAAACACAAAAATATACACAATTTGATAAGATTTACAAACATAACTAAATAAATCACATATCCACCTCTAATGTCCACTAAACGGTCCAATACCCTGAAATGTCACAAAATAACGCATTGAGAGTAAACGGAGTATTATTGCCTATCACTAAGATTTTCAAATCAAATTTTTAACACAAACACCTATAGATCTAAATTAGTTCGGGTTATGCAGAACAAGTTTCTCCAATCCGCTAAATTCAAAAAATGACACAAATAGATCAATTAGGACCTTTTTCGGTGAGTGACGAGATTAATGAGTGTGGCTAGTTGGAAGGAAAGTTTGGTGTAAGAATATACAGAGAGAGTTAGATTGTACTAATACTGAGCGGATCATCACAAGAATTTACAAAAACTTGGAGCATACAAAACAATGAGAAATATAAACATGAAAAGTAAAAAATGGAGTTTTACAAAAGAAATTACAACAAGAATTCAATGTGCCTCTTTTTTTTTTTTTTTTTTTCTTTCAATTTTCCCTCTTTTTTTTTCTTTTTTTTTTGATTTTTTTTTTCAAAGAGGGCACACACTGAACATTACAATGAAAAACTAACCCCAAAATTTACAAACAAATCTGTACTTCACTCATATGACACTTAATAGTAGCTCCATTTATTTACTCTCAAGTAACAAGACAATCTACTCTAGGATTAGAAAAGATTAACTTTGGATAGGGCTTCAGAAGGTTATGTATTTACAAGGTTACAAATAAAAAAGAATTAGTAACAAGTGAAGTAAGATATTTTACACTTGTACACTGAAAAGGCTCGAACGAGATTACTATGGAAAGTGTTATTTATTTACAAAGGGATAGTGTTTGGCTTCATGGGTAAACAAAGATGGCCTAAATCATTTCTAAATGTGTCAAGTTCAAATAAAATTTCAAGGAGAATAAATGTAAGAACATCTTAATCTGCATAAACTTTCACTAATTCAACTATTAACCAATAAATTGGAAAAATAAAATCTAAGGTGTTTAATGTTAAAGTGTTAAAAAGAATCAAGTTCAAAGCTAATACTAAGTTACTCTCAAAAAATTATAGTGACACTTCTCAAACTCAAACCACATTTCGTCAAAAGAGGTGAATGAATAATTTTAAAAAGTTATGGAAGTAACTAGTAACAAAAAGTGTAAACTAATGTGTTGTTTGTCTATTGTTGTATTTTGGACAAGACTAGTCTTTACTTTTCCAAACAAACACACAAAAATAAAAATAAAAGAAAATAAAATCACACAAACAAGCAAGGAAATAGAAAAAATATTCACACAAGAAATTAGGGTCGAACTACCCACTCCCCCACACTTAAAATTTGCACTGTCCTCAGTGGAAAATAAATTAAAGGAGTGTAAAGAAAACTTCCCTGAATTGCGGACGGATGATGTTGAGATGTCTTTTCGAGCGGATGTGGCCCCTTTAGAGTCCAAAAACAAAAATCTAGACATTTTTTTGTTGCTTTTTTTTTGTTTTTTTTTTTAAATTTACAAACTTGGGTTGCCTCCCAAGAAGCGCTCGTTTAAGGTCATTAGCTTGACCCATGCCTCTTCATTCATATTTCGGAGCAGTGAGGCAATACACAGAAGTTGCCTTTTGTCTCTCACTTTGGGTGGTTTTCCTTTGATATTCAAGGATTGATCTTCAAGATTAAGCACTTCAAATTTAAGTGCTTTAGGCATCAGTAAACATATGCTTTGCAAAATTTCGAGACATAAATTCACCATTTCATTGGCTTGCTCATCTGCAATAGATTCTCGTATGGTGTACTCCATGGGATCTTTAGAAAGCTGATATGACTCATCAAATGTATTAGTAGTACAAGAGTCTATAACATCAGCATAGTAACCATCAAGGACACATGGTGTATCCTTACTCAGCTCTTTTATATTGAATTCGATCTTATCATCCCCAATCTCAAGGATAAGGGTGCCTTTTTTGACGTTTATAATTGCTCCTGCCGTAGCTAGAAAGGGTCTCCCGAGAATAACAGGAACTCGGGCATCTTCTTCCATATCCAAGACAACAAAGTCTCCTGGGATATAATATTTGTCAATTTTGATAGGAACATCTTCAAGAATGCCAATAGGATATTTGACAGATCGATCAGCCAATTGTAATGCCATTGTTGTTGGTTTGGGATCCCCCAAGTGTAGCTTTTGACATAGTGAGTAAGGAATTAAGCTAACACTTGCACCAAGATCACAAAGAGCTTTGTTAACTTTAGATCCACCAATGATACATGGAATTGAGAAGCTTCCAGGATCATGTAACTTGGGTGTGATCTTATTTTGGATTATGGCACTACATTCTTGGCTCATTGCAACAGTGGCTGGATTCTCCTTCTTCTTTGTGAGAACATCTTTGAGAAATTTAGCATATGAAGGAATTTCTGTAATGGCATCAAGCAAAGGAATTGAGATATCCATCTGTTTGATAACATTCAAAAATTTAGTTCTCCGCTCCTCCATATTAGCTTTCTTCAATCTGTTCGGATAAGGAACTGGGGGAATATATTTCCTTACCAAACTGCTTTTTTCTTTCTTCGACCCTTCACGATCATCAGATGATTTCGGCATGGTACCGACATCAAGTTCATTGTTGTTGTTTCCACCTTTCTGTTGTTGCTCGGCCCTTTCCTCCAACACTTCATGTTCTTGTTCATCACTAGAAAGGGGAAAGGATTGATGTTGTTTCCCACTCCGAGTAGTGACGACATTGATTTGCTCCCTAGGGTTTTCAGGATAAGCAGGAAGCTTACCTGTCACCTTAGTTGATGATGTGGATGCTTGATTAGCAATTTGATTCTCAAGCATCTTGTTGTGAGCTCGAAGTTGACCAAGTTCTTCGGTGATTTGTTTCAGGGTTTCAGCTTGAGATAATTGGGACTTGAGAAGTTGGTCAACAATGTTTTCTAAGACAGGAGTTTGGGTTGTTTCAGGAGTGGGGAGAAGTGGTTTTTGCTGTTGATTTGAAGGGTATGGAAGATTCTGAGTGGGTTTATAGTGTTGCTGGTTCACAATACCTTGGCCACCTCTGAATTGCTGTTGTTGGTTTTGGAAACCGGGTGGTGCACTCCGGTAAGATGGTTGTGGATTAGCAGCTCCATTTTGATTGCTCCAGGAAAAACCGGGATGGTTTCTTCCTTGAGGATTGAAATTACCAAATTGATTTTGTTGGGGCTGCCTGTTGTAGTTGACATAGTCAACTTGTTCCATTGCTTCCCATGGACAAGTAGACTGATTGTGTTGTCCACCGCAAGATTCACACATAAGAACGGGAATGGGAGCTGGAGTTGATGTTGAGTTTTGCACAAGAGAGACTTGTGCCATCTTTTGGATAAGATTCATCATGCTATCGACCTTTGTGGTTATGGCCGACATTTGATCAACTTCATACATGCCTCCGATTTTTGGTGGAGCAGATGATCGCTCAGAATACCATGTTGATCCATTTGATGAAATACGCTCCATCAATTCTTCTGCCTCTTCAAGTTCCAGGCACATGAATGATCCATTTGCTGACGCGTCCACGAGTATCCGAGAATTTTCATGTAGGCCTTCATAGAAAGCTGTCATCAAGTGCCAGTTTTGGATGTTATGATGTGGACACTGTCGCTGAAGATCTTTGAATCTTTCCCAAGCCTCGTAGAGGGGCTCATTGGGATTTTGCTTGAAATTTTGAATCATTCTTCGGATTTTCGCCGTTTTAGATGGGGGGGAAAATCTTTTGAGAAATTCACCATGAAGTTGATCCCAAGTGGAGAAGTGATTATCCGGAAAAGAGTCAAGCCAACTCTGAGCTCGATCTCGTAGAGAGAATGGGAACAGGCGTAGTTTGACAGCATCAGTTGGCACACCATTGATTTTGAAGGTGTTGCAAGCTCGAAGGAACTTTGTGATGTGATTATTTGGATCCTCCGTTGGCGCTCCGCCAAATTGAGTATTTGAAACCATATGAATGATAGCAGGCTTGATTTCAAAGTGATTCATGTTAACCTCTGGTGGAATAACAATGTCATGCTCATCCACGGGAGGCGTAACATAATCATACAGCGGTTTTCTGGTCCTCATAACCTGATCCACGATTTGTTGATCGGGTACCTGCTCATTAACAACAATATCGTTTGACATTTTTTTTATTTTTTTCTGTTCACGTATGTGCTTTTCAATGTCAGAGAAGAATAACAATTCACAATTCGCACCACGTGAACGTGTGAGCATAAGCAGAAGGGAATTGGGATTGGGGAAAGAGAGAGAGAGAGATGAAAAGAAAAAATAAATGCGGAATTAATTAATTAATTAAGGTTCGCACGTAGTCAATTGGTATAAACCGAATAAGACTAGTGAGCCCTTAAAGCAGTATGAATATATACAGTAATTCACCAGGATGCGGCTAGGCCGACAGATATGGTGATTTGAGGGAAGAAAAAAAATAGCTACAGTAATAAATACAGTCTCCACCAAGATGCAGCTATGCCGACAGTCTGGGGATTATTAAGAAAAAAAAATAAAAATAAAAAGTGCACTCCACCAACAAGTGGACACGGCCTACAAGCTTGGGGATGCAAAATTTAAAAAAAATGCTGAAATTAAAGTGCGGAAATTAAATTGCGATAATATAAGTGCACAAATTAAATTGCGATAATTAAAGTGCAGAAATTAAAAAGTTGGGGTTTGAACCACCATAAAAAGAAAAATAAACGGTCCGACCATATAGGCGGAGTATCCTTTGAATTATAATGTACAAGTAAGCGGTCCGACCATATATGCGGAGTATCCTTTTAATTAAAATGTAAAAATATGTTCAATGGTCTGAATGTCCAGATATGTTCAGTCAACAAGTCCAACTCCAATGCTCAGGTAAGATGATTAATCACAGTCCATTTTTTTTTTCGATTTTTTTTTTATTTTTTTTTTTTATTTTTTTTTGAACTTTAATTAATCACTTTTTTTTTACTTGCAAAGGTAAAAAGATAACAACAAAATAATATACACACAATTTACAATAACTAAAATCGAAAGTTTATGCTCTCAATTTTTTTTTCAAAACCGCTTCCCCGGCAACGGCGCCAAGTTGGTGTGTAGCATATAATGGGCACACAACTATTTTTTTTACCCAAGGAAGTAGGGTGTCGAACCACAGAGAAGCGGGAAATAAAATAATTAAGCGCAAACTAAGGATTAAAGTTGGGAATGCGTTTCTTTTGATTTTTGTTTGCTTGGAAAAGTAATTAAATAAAAGTGATTGAGAGAAGAGATTTTTATCAACACAAAGTTCAACCAATAGCAAGTAGGGGTAGAAATTGGCAACTAATTGTTCAATGCTCATTTGTAAGACATAATTGCTAATTTTATTCTTAGATAGATTGTGAGAAGTTGTAGATAAATATTTTAGGACCCAACACAAGTCACCTAAAATAAGTAACTAGTCAACATTTTCCAGTGATGGCCAAAACGAGACTAGTTGTTTAAGTGCAACGACAACCTTAATTATTAACTATATTATTTACCCAACCCCGTGGTGTAAATAATATAATTAAATAATTAAATTCTCCCGTAAAACTTCAATCCGGGACAAGGTAAAAGAAGTTTAACGGTGTGTTCAGAAAGTGTTCATTTGTGTATTTAACAAACAATATGTTTATGATTGAGTACTCATAATATATATCACAAACACAATATAATTAATTTTTTGGACACAACAATCTAAATAGAACAAACTTAACAATTAAAATCAATACAAATTAAAACATGATAAGAACAATTAATTAACCAATTTCTAGCCCCAAATTTATTTAGCTATACATGTTGGGAAACATAGAAATAGATGAATACATGATTAAAGTACAAGATTTAATGAGATAAGGAAGATCAAACTTGTGATAGATGACAATCCTTGGAGCTTTGATGCTAATCTTGACTTAATCTTGGATGAGAAAGTGATTAGTTATGGTTGAAGATGGGTTGATGATTTGGGGTTGAGAAATGAAGAGAGAAGGAGGATGAAATGTTTCTGGGATGTTTAGAGAGAAGTTGGTCCGAGCTTATGTGTGGAGGAAGATGGATTAAGGCAATATAATGATAAGGTGATTAATCATTAATTGCTGGAATTTACGGAACAGATGAGTTTATGTACAACCAAACGCAGTAAAGTTCCAACAGTGGTAGGTAGCTCAATGGACAAGCATTTCAGTAGAAAACTCGGAGATCGTGGGATCGATTCTCAGCTTCAACATTTTGTTCTTTTCTTTGCCGCGTTCAGAAGGAATATAACAATTGCCAGCTGAATATGTACAACATTGATCACTTAGCACACTGGTTGTAGTAGGCATTCTTTTACCCTTTCTCTAGGGATCGAATCCCAGCTCCACAATTTTTATTTTTGCTTCTTTTCTTCAATTCACTCCTTATTTGTTTTGAAGGAAATTCCACTTTTATTGACCTCCAACTTGAACTTTTATTTTCTTCTTTTGTTCACTCTAATGTATCAAAATAGCATCAAAAGTACCTGAAAATACAAAATACCCGCATAATACCGCACTAATACAAATTAACGACAAATAATAAAAATATGTACATAAGTACAACTTTAATAACTAAAATTAACAACAAACTAAGCCTAAAAAGTGTGTAAAATATAACCATATCAAGTGAGCCCGAAGGCACTTGTGATGTAGTATGAGGGGCACAAGCCGGGAGCACTTCTGGGTAAGCGTACCCAGGGGCTCCTCTTAATGAAGTGAAGCGAAGGAGACAGCCCGGGTTCCCAGAATATAGCCGTTGTAATATGACCGTTGGAGGTGGAGTCCACGTGGCGCGTGTTCGTTGGCTGGCTGTGGGCGGGTGTCACCGATTGGGCAATTCGACGGTTCGTAATGATGACTTTGCACTGGGGGCCCGGTTTTTAGGCCCAAGCCCGGATTTGGGCGCCTATAAATACCCAAGGCCATAGACCACTTTCGATGTGCGATCATTGTTGTTAGCGGAGCTCTGCCAAATTTTCTAGAGAGAGAAACTCCAGCCTTCGGTCAAAGCTAGTTCTCAGAGGTCAATTCTCCCTCCGCTCTTGGCAATTCTTGGTTAGCTGTGCTTTGTTGCCTTAGATTAGGGGTCGTAGTTTAGAGCCTTCAGTATTTCTCTCCAAACCCTCGGTTTAGTATAGGTCATGTCTTCACAAAGCGATTCCCAAGACATCTCGAGGGAGCCCTCGATGGAGGAGGAGAGCTTCTCAGACGTGGAGTCCACGAGCGAGCAACCCTCGGCTCGGAATGATGTCGCAATGGCCATAGAGGTACAGAAGGACCTTGTGGCCAAAGTCGAAGCTGAGGACTTCGAGCAGGTGATCGAAGACGAATAGATGGCCCTCGCCGTTCAAGTGGCTGAGCAAGAGGAGGAAAAGGAGAGGTCGAGGGTTACTGTTGTCGCCCTTCCCCCCCGGAATGCGGGTGAGGCCAACACCTCCCGGCCCCTGAACCCCACGCCCCTCAGGGTAGCCCCCGGGGCGAAGAAGATGAAGAAAATGGGAGCTCCCAAGAAGAAAGGTGCTGCTGATCAAGAGAAACCGGTCGGGATCCCCGAGGGGTATTCCTGGTTGAATATTGCTGCCCTCGCGATAAACTCGAAGGCTGAGCGGGCTGATTGCTACGTGACGCAGTTGCACGTGGGCCCTCAGCAGACGTGGTTGAGCCGGGCCCGAATGACTTACTCTCCCAGTCTCCCGAGGGATGTTTTGCAGTCCACACCCTCTCCGTCTCAATGGGCCTTTGGTTCCCGTTGCACCCCTTCCTCCTGGAGTACCTTAGGTACGTTGGTCTAGCCCCCTGCCAACTTACCCCAAATAGTCACTCCTATGTTGCGGCCTTCCTGCGCCTCTGTGAATCCAGGAGGTGGCCCCCAATCTGACCTCTTTTTTCAGAGCTTCAACCTGTGCCGAGGGGGGATGCTAACTCCGAAGGCTATGTGAACCTTCAACAGATTGCCCCGTGGAGGCTCTTTGACGACGTCCCCTCGTCCCACAAAGGCTGGAGGGTCCGATTCTGCTATGTGAAGATGCCAGGTAATCCTTTCCCGAGGGAGCTGCGGGATCGTTTCAGGCGTCACCCGAAGGTGGGGAGTGCTGCCCTCGAGAAGGCGGGGAGAATCATCTCCGCTATCCCCGAGGGGCGCAAAAAGCATATGATGGTCAAGGAGCTGACCCTTGATGATGACTTGTATGGGCTGGGCTTCCGCCGTTTTCGTTTCTTAGGGAAAACAGACGCTAAGTACCCTGTCCTCGAACATTTCGTAGGAGGTAGGTCTCTGAGGGCTCTGTTTTGCGTACTTAGGAGTTTGGGCGTACATTAATTTTCTTTTCTTTCTTTGACCCTCCGGTCTCATATGTTTTCCACTTTTCTTTACTTTTACAGGTGCTGAAATGGACTTGAAGAACTTCGCGGGTTTTATGAAAAAGTAGTCGAAGGAGCCCAAGAAGAAGGACGGGGGCGTCCAGAAACCCCTCGACGCACTCCCCAAAAAGTTGGGGAACCTTCGACTACTGCCCCCTCAGATGATGCTGCCAAGAGGAAGCCAACAGGCAAAGGCCCGGGTCCTGAAGGGAAGAAACCCCGGAGAGGGGAGGCTAAGAAGAAGACCCCTCTGGTCGTAGTCGTGGGGGAGGACTCTGCCTCCGGGCTTCACATCGTGGCGGAGACCACTGCCTCTGGTCCTCCTTCGACACAGAGGGGCGAGGGGGGCCTACCCCGGGAGGACGTGCCTTCTTCCCTTCTGAGGGGGACCATTCATCCGGTGGAGTTCCTCCGGGGAGCTATCCTCTCTTTCGACAGGGCGGCCCTCGGCAAGCTTGAGGACGAAGCCCTTGAGTCCAAGATCCTCCGATCTTCCCTCACTGTGAGTTGTCTCCCTTATATTCGCTTTTCTTTAGGGCTCTTAGTATGGTATCCTGACCCCCCTGTTATCTCCAGGCTTGTATTGCCCTCGGTGAACAAGCTCGAAGGCTGGAGGAGTGGCGCCTCCAGAGAGCCCAGGATGCTGAGAAGATGACGAAGCTGGTCCACGACCATCATGACGTTGTGACGCGGATGGTTCAGCTGGAGGAGGACCTTCGGGTAGCGAGGGAGGAGGCCGAGGGAGCAAGGAAGGAGAAGGCCGAAGCTATCAAGGCTGCAACCGAGGTTGCACAAAAAGCCGTTGATGAGGCCGAGGTTGCGAAAGCGGAGGCTGTTGCCCAAGCCCGAGGGGGTGCTGTGGCCGCCTTTCATGCTGAGGGGTGGAAGGCTGAGGGTGAGGAAGGATGGATTTCCTCGGTTGTGGCGGCCTCGGTAGATGACTGGGTTAAAGGCCACGGGGTTGAGTGGATGGCCCGGAAGGGCACGAGTTATTACGAGGGCGGTGAGTACTTCACCCAAGCCCTCGTTTACCGGAGGCTCGCCAGGCACTTCCAGGTTGACCCGGAGAAGTTCGACCCTGCAGCATATGGCCTCCCTCCTCTGCAACCAGACATCCGTGTTCCCCTCCCCTCGGGCGCAGAGAGGTCGGTCCTTGAAGACTCGGTCCTAATGGCGGAGGCAGCGAGTGACGATGACGAGGGGGATGTCCCCTCCAAGCCTGTCGAGAGTGCTTCCGTTGAGGTGGTCGATGATGTGGTGGTTGTATAATTTGAACATTTTTTCTTCTTGTATTGCCATGTATGTAACTCTCGGCCTCGGCAATCCTGTAATAGACATTTCAACTTTTCCTTCCTCTTGATGAATGAATGTCTGCCCTCGGGCTTTTGTACATAATTTGTTTTCCTTTGAATGTATGCCCTCGTTTTTCTTTGAACGTATGCCCTCGTTTTTCTTTGAATGAATGCCTTTTAATACGCCTCGTGAAAAAATGCCCTCGTACCTTGATGCTTAGAATGTCAGTTGTTAGGGACTTAGAAAAAATTTCTTAGTGTTGTCCTCCCATCAGGCCTTCGGTTGTGTGGCCCCTCGGGCTGCACGAGTGCTTGACCGAGGGCGAAATTTTTAGGACTTAGAAAATTTTCCCAAGTGTAGTTTCACCAAGCCTTCGACCGTGTGGCCCCTCTGGCTGCATGGAGATTTGACCGAGGGTCAAAAATATTTAGGACTTGGAAAATTTTTCCAAGTGTAGTTGTATGGGATAGGAGCCTTCGGGTGAATGTGAGAGCCTTGTCGTAGGTGTGCCTTCGGTTGACCGGTGACTCGATAGGGGGCAAAGTATTTAGGACTTAGGAAAAATTTCTCTAAGTGTTGTTTAGTATCACGCCTTCGGCATGTGGGCATTCTCTGCTGCATGGATACATGACCGAGGCACCCAATCTCGTAGACTTGGAAAAAATCCTCGGCCTGTGAGACTGGCCCCCGGTGAGTAGAAGTTGCCTTCGATCTTTGCTGATCAGAAGAGCCTTCGGCCCTTATCATGCTCCCAAAGGGTGGACTTATGAGATTTCGTAGAACATTGATGCCGTAGTAGGTGCCGATGGGGATGTAGGTGCCTTCGACATTACTTGAAATATTGTTGAGTGAACCTATCAAGTTCTGTATGATTTGAGCCTTCGGTTTTGATGTAACCAGAGGCAATCCAAAAGTGGACTTAGCCATTTGTCGATGATACTTGTTGAATAGTATCTTTGGTAATTAGGAGCGTCCAGGTACCGAAGGTGTTCCCGTGGGGAGCCCTCGGTATGCATTGTCTTGTACTGCCGAAGGGCGTTCTGTCGTGAATTGTTGGAGTGGTGTACTCATTGATTTCCCGCTGAGTCTACTCCCCTTCACTCCCTCGTTTTTTTTGGTAGTGAAGGGAAGGCTTCAAGAAACTTGGTTTCTTGGTAAGGCTTGGCCTATCGGGAGGTAATAGAATACACCATTAGCTCCCCCCTCGGGTTAACCTTCCGAGTTCCAAGGGGATCGAGGGTCATTTCCTGGGCACAAGACATGGTTTGTAGCCTACCTCCCCTTGGGAGATGGCACGAAAAGCGCCTCAGTTTTGAAAGTCGTCCCCTCGGCGCCAGACATAGTCCGTGGCCTGCCACACCCTTGGGGTAGTGGCGCGGGGAGCGTTTCGATTTGGAAGGCGAATCCTGGG